TAGATAGATAGATATAGACAGACAGACAGACAGACAGATAGATAGATAGATAGACAGAGATAGATAGATAGATAGATAGATTGATAGATAGATAGAGACGGACAGGCAGGCAGACAGATAGATAGACAGAGACAGACAGATAGATAGATAGATAGACAGACAGATAGATAGATAGATAGATAGAGACAGACAGGCAGGCAGACAGATAGATAGACAGAGACAGACAGATAGATAGATAGACAGATAGATAGACAGACAGATAAACAGACAGACAGCCGGACAGACGGACGGACGGACGGACAGACAGACAGATAGATAGATAGATAGAGACGGACAGACAGACAGATAGATAGACAGAGACAGACAGATAGATAGATAGATAGAGACGGACAGACAGACAGATAGATAGACAGAGACAGACAGATAGATAGATAGATAGAGACGGACAGACAGACAGATAGATAGACAGAGACAGACAGATAGATAGATAGATAGAGACGGACAGACAGACAGATAGATAGACAGAGACAGACAGATAGATAGATAGATAGAGACGGACAGACAGACAGATAGATAGACAGAGACAGACAGATAGATAGATAGATAGAGACGGACAGACAGACAGATAGATAGACAGAGACAGACAGATAGATAGATAGATAGAGACGGACAGACAGACAGATAGATAGACAGAGACAGACAGATAGATAGATAGATAGAGACGGACAGACAGACAGATAGATAGACAGAGACAGACAGATAGATAGATAGATAGAGACGGACAGACAGACAGATAGATAGACAGAGACAGACAGATAGATAGATAGATAGAGACGGACAGACAGACAGATAGATAGACAGAGACAGACAGATAGATAGATAGATAGAGACGGACAGACAGACAGATAGATAGACAGAGACAGACAGATAGATAGATAGATAGAGACGGACAGACAGACAGATAGATAGACAGAGACAGACAGATAGATAGATAGATAGAGACGGACAGACAGACAGATAGATAGACAGAGACAGACAGATAGATAGATAGATAGAGACGGACAGACAGACAGATAGATAGACAGAGACAGACAGATAGATAGATAGATAGAGACGGACAGACAGACAGATAGATAGACAGAGACAGACAGATAGATAGATAGATAGAGACGGACAGACAGACAGATAGATAGACAGAGACAGACAGATAGATAGATAGATAGAGACGGACAGACAGACAGATAGATAGACAGAGACAGACAGATAGATAGATAGATAGAGACGGACAGACAGACAGATAGATAGACAGAGACAGACAGATAGATAGATAGATAGAGACGGACAGACAGACAGATAGATAGACAGAGACAGACAGATAGATAGATAGATAGAGACGGACAGACAGACAGATAGATAGACAGAGACAGACAGATAGATAGATAGATAGAGACGGACAGACAGACAGATAGATAGACAGAGACAGACAGATAGATAGATAGATAGAGACGGACAGACAGACAGATAGATAGACAGAGACAGACAGATAGATAGATAGATAGAGACGGACAGACAGACAGATAGATAGACAGAGACAGACAGATAGATAGATAGATAGAGACGGACAGACAGACAGATAGATAGACAGAGACAGACAGATAGATAGATAGATAGAGACGGACAGACAGACAGATAGATAGACAGAGACAGACAGATAGATAGATAGATAGAGACGGACAGACAGACAGATAGATAGACAGAGACAGACAGATAGATAGATAGATAGAGACGGACAGACAGACAGATAGATAGACAGAGACAGACAGATAGATAGATAGATAGAGACGGACAGACAGACAGATAGATAGACAGAGACAGACAGATAGATAGATAGATAGAGACGGACAGACAGACAGATAGATAGACAGAGACAGACAGATAGATAGATAGATAGAGACGGACAGACAGACAGATAGATAGACAGAGACAGACAGATAGATAGATAGATAGAGACGGACAGACAGACAGATAGATAGACAGAGACAGACAGATAGATAGATAGATAGAGACGGACAGACAGACAGATAGATAGACAGAGACAGACAGATAGATAGATAGATAGAGACGGACAGACAGACAGATAGATAGACAGAGACAGACAGATAGATAGATAGATAGAGACGGACAGACAGACAGATAGATAGACAGAGACAGACAGATAGATAGATAGATAGAGACGGACAGACAGACAGATAGATAGACAGAGACAGACAGATAGATAGATAGATAGAGACGGACAGACAGACAGATAGATAGACAGAGACAGACAGATAGATAGATAGATAGAGACGGACAGACAGACAGATAGATAGACAGAGACAGACAGATAGATAGATAGATAGAGACGGACAGACAGACAGATAGATAGACAGAGACAGACAGATAGATAGATAGATAGAGACGGACAGACAGACAGATAGATAGACAGAGACAGACAGATAGATAGATAGATAGAGACGGACAGACAGACAGATAGATAGACAGAGACAGACAGATAGATAGATAGATAGAGACGGACAGACAGACAGATAGATAGACAGAGACAGACAGATAGATAGATAGATAGAGACGGACAGACAGACAGATAGATAGACAGAGACAGACAGATAGATAGATAGATAGAGACGGACAGACAGACAGATAGATAGACAGAGACAGACAGATAGATAGATAGATAGAGACGGACAGACAGACAGATAGATAGACAGAGACAGACAGATAGATAGATAGATAGAGACGGACAGACAGACAGATAGATAGACAGAGACAGACAGATAGATAGATAGATAGAGACGGACAGACAGACAGATAGATAGACAGAGACAGACAGATAGATAGATAGATAGAGACGGACAGACAGACAGATAGATAGACAGAGACAGACAGATAGATAGATAGATAGAGACGGACAGACAGACAGATAGATAGACAGAGACAGACAGATAGATAGATAGATAGAGACGGACAGACAGACAGATAGATAGACAGAGACAGACAGATAGATAGATAGATAGAGACGGACAGACAGACAGATAGATAGACAGAGACAGACAGATAGATAGATAGATAGAGACGGACAGACAGACAGATAGATAGACAGAGACAGACAGATAGATAGATAGATAGAGACGGACAGACAGACAGATAGATAGACAGAGACAGACAGATAGATAGATAGATAGAGACGGACAGACAGACAGATAGATAGACAGAGACAGACAGATAGATAGATAGATAGAGACGGACAGACAGACAGATAGATAGACAGAGACAGACAGATAGATAGATAGATAGAGACGGACAGACAGACAGATAGATAGACAGAGACAGACAGATAGATAGATAGATAGAGACGGACAGACAGACAGATAGATAGACAGAGACAGACAGATAGATAGATAGATAGAGACGGACAGACAGACAGATAGATAGACAGAGACAGACAGATAGATAGATAGATAGAGACGGACAGACAGACAGATAGATAGACAGAGACAGACAGATAGATAGATAGATAGATAGATTGATAGATAGACAGACAGACAGACAGATAAATAGACAGACAGACAGATAAACAGACAGATAGATAGACAGAGACAGACAGATAGACAGACAGACAGATAAACAGACAGATAGACAGACAGACAGATAAACAGACAGACAGATAGATAGACAGAGACAGACAGATACACAGACAGATAAACAG